CTCAGCCCGCCGCGCCGCCCCGCGCATGCGCGACAGGTGCGGCTCCGCGCCGCGCGCCATCCCCTCCCTCCCGCCTGCCCGCGCCGGGCCGCGCTCTCCCGGCGTGCTCCGCGCTCAGAGTCTGACGTCACCGCAGCCCGGCGCCCGCCGCCATTGGAGTTGGCGGTTCGGGCTCCGTCCCTCGCAGCGGCCCGGCGCAGGCGGGCAGGCCGGGGGGCATGTGAAGGGACGGGGCCGGCAGGGCACGGCGAGGCGCGCGACCGGCGCCGGCCTACCGTCCCCCCGGGCCCACTGAGGAGACGCCGAGCGGCGGCGCGCGGGCCCCTTCCCCTCCCCCTCGGCCCCTTCCCCTCCCCGGCCCTGTGCACGGAGCGCCGCCGCCGCCCCGGAGCTCCCAGCGGCGCCGCCTCCCGCCCGGCCTCTGCTGAACCACGGCGGCCCCGTACATGAATTATGTCTGCCACAAGCGTTGACCCTCAGGTGAGCGGCGCGGGGCCGGGGGTGCCGCGGCCGGGGCTGGCCCTGCTGGGCTCGGCGCTCTGGGGCTCGGATCGCTCTCGGTTCCTCCGGCCGAGGGCACGGCGATGTGCGCGGGGTGTTGGTGGGGCAGGCGGGGCTGGATGAGCCCTCGGTGCCTTGCAGCCGTTTGCTACGAGACCCCCATCCCTCCCCATCAGCTGTGTGTCGGTATGAACGTTTTCCTAAAATCAACTTCTTTGTTTCTCTTTTTGTTTGTTTGTTTGTGTCTTTTCCTGTACCCGATCGTGTGCTGTGGCTTTCCAGAGACCGAAAGGACAGGATAATAAAGGTGAGGATCACGCTGAGATCTTGCTGTTGAAGCAGCCCCTGTAGGAGATGAGCTCTGCAGGTACCTGTGGGTTTGCAGCCCCTGTGGGTAACATCTGGAACAAAGGAAGTTGTGCTTTGTTTCACAGCTGGATCAACTGTTATTTGCACGGTCTTGAGTGCATCCAGCTTATTGCTGTGGTGTTTACAGTCTCCTCGTTTCCTTGTAGTAACAAAAAACTGTAAGGTTGTCTGTTCGCTGTGTGAGTATTTCTACATACTTTGCATAGTCGTTTCCTCCTATGCAAATACAGTTCCATTACTGGACTGCTGTTGGCTCTACAGGTATGATTTGTGATAAGTAAGCCTAGAAAGTTAATTATATTCATTTAAAATTCCTTAAGTAATTGCTGGAGATAATAAACTTTTTATGCCAACATCCACGCTCCATGTGATTTCTAATTTCAGTCAGTCATTCAGGAAACTGATTGATACCATGGTCACTATGTAAGCGTGTAATTGTTCAGCTTTACAGACTAGCAGTATCTTCAGCTCAAAGACTTTCCATGTTATCACAACCTGCCTTAAAAATCCAGCTCTCTCTATTCACTAGAAGTTTGATTCCGTTTCCAATATTGGTGTACACTCTCTTGCTTCCATTGACAGTCTTTCCAGAGTTATTCTCATGAATTCCAAAACTTGCTGGCTAAACACTTAAGTTTTGTGTAGCTTTACCTCATATGGAACAGTAACTGTATTTTTCTCATGACACAATGTGGTGTTTGAGCTTTTTTTCTTAGCATTTAAAATGACAAAGGAAATAATTTGGTGTAACCCAATAAATTTTGCTTTTGTGTAGCTTTAAGTAATGGGTTTTGATTGCATTTCACATAAGAATTTACGTATAAGTAGGCATTTGGGTAAGGCAAGTATCTCTTTTACACACTTTAAAGATTTAAATTTTGATTAAAAATGGCAGAATCTCAAGTCACACAGCAGTCATTGGTTATAATTAAATGTAAGCCCACCTGATCTCACTGTAGCTAACTTAACTTAGGCAGTAAACACATGCTGGGAGAGCTGTGAATTAGTTTCTGAGAGTTCTAATTATGGACCCAAACATCTGATGTTTCCTAATTTATTTTTTATACAGAACTCCTATATTTTTTGGCTCAGAGATGATTCACAGGGGTTCTGTGTTCTCTTGTTTGTAGGAAAGCTTGATTTTTAAAAATTTACTCAAGCTCAATTTTTGTAAGTGGTGATACAAAGTGAAATCAGGGGACAAAAGTGATCTGTATGTCTTCAAGATTCTTCATGCTCCAAAGAAGTTTTTCCTTAAAATGACATAAAGTGGAACAGTACTGAAACACTCCTAAGCTGTATCATAATGTCTTGTAACTCTTTTTTTTGTAGTACAAAATGGTTCATTACATCAGAAGGATACAGTTCACGACAACGATTTTGAACCTTACCTTTCTGGGCAGTCAAATCAGGTTGGTGTGTTTTTTCCCTTTTTTTCTTCATCTTATGCATGCTTTTGGCACCCAGTTCCATAGGATTGTGTTGCGGAAGCAAATTCCTTAAAGACATGGAAAAAGAAATGAGTGGTATATTGTGTTACTTAGTAATACAACTAGCCTTGTGCTTACAAAGCTAATATTACTATGTGTATCCAGATGGCCACCAGTGAAAACTATGTTAATGCTCCAAGTAGTGTCTGCTGATTGCTCCTCATGTTGCAGGCTATTGATATGGTTGGGCTGTGACAAACTACTTGATCTTGCAGGTCTTTAATAAATGAGTTGCATGTGGGAGTCTGGAGTTCCTGATTTTGGGGTCTCACAATTCATCTTTTCAGTGATCTTAGGTGTTAATATTGTTGAAATTTGGATATTGCTTTTAAGAAAAGATTGCAGATATCCTCCTTGCTTTTCTCACTTCAACAAATTGCTCTTCTTTCCTGTCCTCTGAAATGTCACAAGTCTACAAAACATATCGTTTTAAAGGTAATGAACACCCTGTAGTGCAAACTCTGAATAAAACAGTTCTGTACATTACTTAATTACACTGTACATTAAGTCACCATCCAGAGCTTAAATACCACTGTAGTTGTGAAAATCTTCTAATTGAAGTAATTTTTGACTTAACTTTCGATCTTTATAAAATGAACAAAATGTTTAGAAACTTGAGAGCCTTGGCTGGGGTACATCTATTATTTGTTTTTAAAAGTGCAGTTCAGCCTGAAGCTGATAAATGCCACTGTTAATGTTGGTGATGTTGCTGAGCTTGCTGGTAAAAGAGCCTCTATGTGCTTAGAAAAAAAGTGTAGGTACGTACATACAGTGAAGCACAACTCCATTGACTCTTAATGCTGCAACAAGAAGTTGGTGTGCTGCAAGAAATAATCGTGTAGGTGGTTTGAACAGTTCTAAGTGGAAAGTGAGAGTAGCATTAAATAGGACTCTGATTTTGTACTGCTTGGAGAAAGGGTTCCCTCCTTAATTAATACTGTAATTGTTTAAAAAAAAAAAAAAGGAAACAGTCAAGAATAAATTTTTTGAAATGAATGTGACTGCTGTTATGGTGAAGGATGTCTGATAGGGTTTCTCTTACGTGCTCTGGCATAATGCCAGGCAAAATAGATTGAATGCTTTGTAAAGATGCTTGCTGAAACTTTCCTTAACAGTGTTAGAAACCTTGCTGAAACTTTACAGACCGTGGCTACAGGGGATGAGTCTCAGAAATTGTCTAGAATCCTTTAGCAGAAATACTGCAGAACAAAACACCTTTTTCCATGTTACTTCTTCTCAGTCTTAACAAAATGTTTATCTGTGGAGTATACAAAGATAAGTATCTCAGAAGAGCTGTTCTCCCCTCCTTTTTGCCAGTGTTTGTTTTTATGTTTTTCCTATGTTAACAATTTAAGAAATAATGCATTGACATTAATCTTGATTTGGACTCTCCAGAAAAAAAATGTTTTCTTATACTAAATATAGATTCATTTGGCTTGGGAAGCTTAGAAAATTGCATCCATTTTGAAGGATCTTCTTATAGAAAAGTAGGTAGTACACATCTCGTTGGTGATAGAATTTGTATGTGAAGGCAGTGTGAGCACTGGCAGCAGTGATGTTTTTTGAATCAGTGACATTGAATTTAGGCTGCTGAAATCTCAGTAGTGGTTGTGGTGGTGAATGTAAGACTTGGTGGCATTTTATGGTGTCATTCTTTATGTGGAAAGGATATTAATTTTGATGCTATGGAAGGGAATAAACTGAAAAACAGGTAATAAAAATGACTATAACTTATCAATTGGATATTAATGCTCATCTTCAGCAGGGAGTCATTTTGTTTCATTTTCTGAATAAGAAACAATCTTATGCTTGGAAAAATGACTGAAGTTCCAGTGCTGTTTTGCTGGCTTTTGTTCAGGATTGGGATCTTACAGTTTGAAAGGAATCTTAGTTCCTATTCTGAAAATCACCTTTCTTTGTGAGTAGGGAAAGGGTAACTACTGTTCAACTCATTAACAGGAGATGCTGACCTTCCTTCCTCCTTGCTGGTAATTACATTTAGAGTACCTTTATGGAATCTCTCTGATATCTAGGTTTCATACTTATTTAAAGAATAAAAAAATCTCATTTTATAATATTCTATATTTATTCTTTTGCATTATTGAATGTGAGAAACACATTGAATGTTTCAAAATAATGCGTCAGCAGAAGATTGAAGGGGAAGAAAAGGCTTCTCAACCTGGTCTGAAAAACAGCTTAGAGGAAGTAAGGCAGTTAAAACTAGAATTTCAGAGACGGATTTGCTGGTTTATGACAGGTCAGTCTTTTATTTCATAGAGTGGAAAAGATGTTCTGTTTGGAAGGACAGCTGTAGATGCTCTTGAACATTTGTATCTTTACTGCTAAGGGAGGAAGGGACTTTTGAATAGGATTTGTCACAGACTGCTTCGCTTCCTGGCATGTATCATGTCTGTGTGCTTCTCTCTAGCACATCAGTCAACTTAATTTCAGTTTCTAGTGACTGGATTGTCTTATTCCAGACTTGACACACTTCTTAATATGTGATCTTACTGTGGTCCTGTCTGAAAGAAGTAGCCTTTGTATGTTTTACCACTTCAGGTATGTTTTGCTCGTTAAGATCTGTTGCCTTTTCTGAACAATCCCATAATGAGGTCTGTGTTCATAATACTGTTTGTTGTCATATTAAAGCAGTTTCACCTGCAACTTTATGATAGCTAAGATATATTAAATATCCTTACCTTTAGAAATTAGAAATTAATTACCTTATCCCTATTGTTCTTTTCTGTCTGGTGATGTAGTGATTCTGTGTGGCTATTTGTATACAAAATTTTATATATCTGAAGTTACTTTTTTTTCTTAACAGAACAGTAGCTATCCATCAATGACTGATCCTTATCTGTCAAGTTATTATCCACCATCTATTGGGTTTCCCTACTCCCTCAGTGAAGCGCCATGGTCTACAGGAGGAGATCCTCCTATCCCATATCTCACCACCTATGGACAACTCAGTAATGGAGATCATCATTTTATGCATGATGCTGTTTTTGGACAGCCTGGGGGCCTGGGAAATAATATCTATCAACACCGGTTTAACTTTTTCCCTGAAAATCCTGCCTTCTCAGCTTGGGGAACAAGTGGATCCCAAGGACAGCAGACTCAAAGTTCAGCATATGGGAGCAGTTACAGCTATCCACCTAGTTCACTGGGAGGTACCATCGTGGATGGACAAACAGGATTTCATAATGATACATTAAATAAAGCTCCTGGAATGAACAGTATTGAACAGGGAATGGTTGGACTTAAGATTGGTGGAGATGTTACAACTTCGGCTGTGAAAACAGTAGGTTCCGTTGTTAACAGTGCTGGGATGACAGGTGCCCTCTCTGGTAATGGTGGCTCAAATGTAAACTTGCCAGTATCTAAACCGACTTCTTGGGCTGCTATAGCTAGCAAACCTGCAAAACCACAGCCTAAAATGAAAACAAAAACTGGACCTGTGATTGGAGGAGCATTGCCGCCTCCTCCTATAAAGCATAATATGGACATAGGTACTTGGGACAATAAGGGTCCTGTGGCGAAAGTTCCTGCTCCCCAGCAGATACCTTCTCCTCAGTCTGTTCCACAGCCACAGCAACAAATTGTTCAGCCTGTTCCGGCTCAGCCTCCTCCATTGACTCAACCACAGTATCAGAGCCCTCAGCAGCCGCCCCAAAATCGCTGGATCGCTCCTCGCAACAGAAATGCAGCTTTTGGCCAAAGTGGAGGAACTGGTAATGACAGCAGTTCAGCTGGCAGCACCCAGCCTAACCCTGTTCCAAGTGGTGAGTCCCATCCTGTTCTTGAAAAACTGAAAGCTGCTCACAGCTATAATCCTAAAGATTTTGAATGGAACCTTAAAAATGGACGTGTGTTCATAATAAAGAGCTATTCTGAGGATGATATTCATCGTTCCATTAAGTATTCTATTTGGTGTAGTACGGAGCATGGCAACAAACGCCTGGACAGTGCTTTTCGGTCCATGAATAGTAAGGGCCCAGTCTACTTGCTATTCAGTGTCAATGGCAGTGGACACTTCTGTGGAGTTGCAGAGATGAAATCACCTGTGGACTATGGCACCAGTGCAGGTGTCTGGTCTCAGGACAAGTGGAAGGGGAAATTTGATGTCAAGTGGATCTTTGTGAAGGATGTGCCCAACAACCAGCTCCGACACATCAGGCTGGAGAACAATGACAACAAACCTGTTACAAACTCCCGTGATACACAGGAGGTGCCCTTAGAAAAAGCAAAACAAGTGCTTAAAATTATTGCTACTTACAAGCACACGACCTCCATCTTTGATGACTTTTCTCATTATGAAAAGCGCCAAGAAGAGGAGGAGGTGGTGCGGAAGGTAAACTTATTAAAAAATTTATTTTATACACAGATATGGGGAAAATGAAATGTGAAGGCTGCTATAATGGAGAAAATGTAAGTAGGAATTAAAAATGTTTTTAATACATCTCAACTGATGCTTATTTATGTGACGTAATTTCATAGCAAATATGTTTCAAAGCAAAAGCTTGAGCACTGATACAGGTAAAGGAGGTCTATGTCCAGGTCTTTGTAGTATCTTAAAGTAGTTAATAGATTAGAAACAAGTTTCTATTTTAGAGTTGCCCCATAAGCATTTTGCTTCACAAATATGAGGTGTTTAAGCACTATTTGACTGGAACTTGTCTATCAAAATTGATACCTATGTTGGCATTTGAAATTTGCATATTACCTCTAAGAGGAGGAAGATTGATCCTACTTGTTCAGTTAAATCTCTGGAGAAGGAGCTATATAAAATTGCTGGAATATGGAATAGTGCTAGGAAGATTGTTTCTGCTGCTGAATCCCCATGTATGTTATTACTTGGGTAAATAAAGGCAAATGGTTCTCAGGTCCAGTATGTTTATTAATTCTTGAAAGTCTTGAGTGAGGGTGCGTGAGAAACTGGGGCAGTAACTGGGAAAGCATGATGAATGTTTTATGTACTTTTTGATGTACCTTTTCATGGCCCCAAGAGTCATCTGTCCCATGACCTCAGTTTCAAGAATACCTTTCTCTAGTTAGGCAGCCTGGAAGTCGTGTACTGACACAACACTAGGTGTTGGGATGTGCAATTATCACTTAGGTAACACTTAAAAGTTGCTTTATCAACAGTGTTTTATACATATTTTTTTGAATAGTGTCTTAATTAAAGCACTTATTGAGCAGGCTGGTTTAGTGCAGCTCACGCTTGTTTTTAAATGTTTTTAAAGCAAGGTTTGGTGATGGTGAAATTGAAGTTGCTGTTTTAATGGCTTTACTGACATTTAAGAATTAAGATAAAATTGCTTTAACCTGTCTTAGAATGTACCCTTAAATTGTGAGAGAAAAGATCAGTGTCTTAAGAACTTCCAGCTCAACTTTTTCTAACCATCTGATATGACATATGTAGCATACTTCAACACAGCAGGGATGGCAAGTTTTTGTTCTGCACTCTCTGCGGGGTTTCACAAACCAAAACCAAAAGTCATTATCTCAACATTTCATTTGTTCAGTAGATGATTGGCAATTCAGTATTTAACACAACCTGTATCTTGAGGAGAGCTGTTTTCATGTGTGGAATGGAATCCTAAATAATCATAGAATGGCTGGGGCTGGAAAGTATCTTTAAAGATCACCTGGTTTCAACCCCAATTCCCATGGCAGGACACCTTCCATTAGGTCACATTACTCAAAGTCCTGTCCAGCTTGACCACGAGCACTTCTGAGGATGGGGCATCTGCAGCTTCTCTGGGCAGCTTGTTCCAGTGCCCCACCACACTCATAGTAAACAATTTCTTTTCCTATATGTAATACAAATCTACCTTCTTTTATTTAAAAAATGAGCTACACCCTGCCCTGTCCCTGTGCTCCCTGACCAAGAGTCCCTCACCAGCTTTTCTGCATTCTCCTCTAGATACTGGCCTTCTCCAGGCTAAACAACTCCAATTCTTAGCTTGTTTCCCTAGGAGAGGTGCCCCAGCCCTCCGATCATCCCTGTGACCCTTCTCTGGACCTGCTCTGACAGGTCCCTGTCTCTTGTGCTGGGGGTTGCACAGCTGAACACCGTGCTGCATGTGGAGTCTCATGAGGGTGGAATAAAGGGGGAGAATGACATCACAGCAGATTGAGGGCAGACTTCTCTATAGCAAGTCAAAAAGTCAACTGCTTACAGTCTAGGGAAGAGATTGGTTTTGTTTTTCATGCTGAGTCTCCCTGTGACTTGTTACCAAGGCTGGAGGGGAGAATAATGTGTGTGAGGAGTGGGAGTGCTGGGGAATCTGAACCAGTTGGTGTGTATTTGCATCAAGTAGTGAAAGTGATCGGCATCCAGCCTTTCTGAACTGTTAACTCGGTTGCCTGAGGAGGTTCAGATGGCAGCTTGCTGAGTGCTGAGCTTCCTTTGCTTTGAAGTAGCTCAGTGTGCTGATGTTCCTATTGAGCTGACCCCACTTGGTGTTATTTTCCTACACATAGCTATTTTGCACTTTCAGTTCAAGCGTTAGTATGATATGCTTGCTTAGGTCACCGTTTCTAGAACAGGATTGGTTTTTCAAAATAGTTATGTCTTCTTTTGCCTCATTTAAAACTGAGGCTCTGGCTTGTCTGACACATGCAGAAAATAAAGTCTGAAGTTTAACATTTCTTAGATTCACCTGGATGGGCTGAAAATAGCACAGTGCTCAGAAAATCAGAGTGCGCTGAGGAAGGTGGTAGTGCTGGAGAAATAAAGCAGATCAACAATGAGGGTGTGAAAAGAAAGGTGCTGCTCATCCAGATGTATTCTATAAAATTGCCTGGAAAGTTAATTTCTTTTCTCACTCTTGTTGTATAAATGAACATGAGAAGTGTAGCTGATTATTAGGAGTTTCTTGGCAGGATTTCCTATGACAATTTTTCAAGAATATTGCTGGTTAAGGTAACTTAAATGACTTTCTTGAGTGGTTATTTGCATATGTAGCATCAAAATTAGATTTCAAGTTGGTGTGGTTGTTCGTTTTTTGTTTTAAATGAATTGTACTCTGTTTAACAGTAACATTTCTTATCACAAATCTTGCCTCCATCACCATCATGATTACAAAAGGCTGGAATTCTTTAGAAATTACTCATGGAGAGCTTGAATGCTTTTATTTCATTTATACACGTGTTTAGTAGAGAAAAGAATGATGTCATGTAATCTATTTGATGCAAGCCACTAGCATTCAATTTTTTTTAATGTTAACATCTTTCTAGCCAATGTTTCCTTCATCAACTAATGGTTGATTTCTTCATGCTGGCATACAAATCCAGCTTCTGATGTGCTGTAGTTGTGAACCTTTTTTTGGCCTAATGTAATGATCCAGACCTGGGAAAGGAGTAAGCCAAAGAAAAGTGGTATGGAATTTCTCCTGCTTTTCTCAGTTCCAAAATCTGCTGCAGCATGAATGTGCCCTCAGAGAGAGCAAATTTTGTGATCAGCTCTTAAAACGTGAAGTTGCAATGTATGTGAGAGAATCTTGAAAAAGAAAATAAGGGCTTGTAAAGAAAAGCAACTTGCTGCAGGTTTTTGTATTTTCATTTGCAACTTGTGGTAGGACCGAAAGAGAGTTCTACTGTGAAATGTCTGCAATTCATCTTTGCAGATCTGTATTTAACTGTGTGTCCCCAGTGCTGTGTGCTCACCTCTGGTCTGTGTTGTGACAGTCTGATTCCAAGGTCTGCACCTTGGTGTCACTGAAACTGCAAAGGAGTTGCATCTCAGAAAGCTCTTGAATCAACAAGCTTATTTCTTCTTTTCAGCAAATATCTATTGTAAGGTGTCAGTGATATTCAGCCATCCCCCTACCACCAATATTGCCTGCTAAGCCGTGTCTCAAAGTACCACATCTACACTTTCTCTCTTTGGAAGGGCAGTCAACCATGCAGCTTCTGTTTACCACGGATCCTTTCACCAGTGATTCTCTTAGCAGTGGTCAGTGGCTCACTTTGTGATCAGTGTTCACAAGATTCAGTAAAGAAACAGTTTGAGCCTGAAATGCTGGGCTGATATAGTTTGACTTCAGGTAAAAGTGAAAACTTTTAGTAGTTCAAGTTAAGTACAAAATACTTTATAATGTATTTCTAGTTGTTATGAAATAAGAGTGTCAGCCTTGAAATGCAGTTCATGTTCAAGACTGTGCTGCTGCAGCAGTAGCTGAGGTAATCCAGAAAGCAGAATGTTACAGATCCCTATTCCAACTGGGAATGATGGTATTCCATCCCTTCCTTACTGTGGCCTTCATATGCTATCAGCTTGGGGTGACTGTGCAGGTATTTACTCAGCTGTTCCATCTGAAGATGGACATTAATATTAAGTTCTTAGCAAATCATTGGTTTGCCAGGTAGTATAAAATATAGCAGCATTTTTTTTTCTTATATCAAAGCATAGAATTGTTGTCTGGGATCACATCAGTGCTGTAACACTACTAAAAATGCTTTTACTTGTTCATTTGACTAAAATCTGTAACTGTTTTTAAATCTTTTCTCTTTACAGGAACGTCAGAATCGAAACAAACAATAAGGATATACCTATACAGTTTGATATATATATACTAGAACTGATATTAAATTCGACTGAGAAACAGAATTGAAGTATTCTGGTGCTGTATCCTGGCATCAGGACCAACTAAAGCTTTCAGCTCCAATATATCTTCTCGTGCAGGGGAAATTAAGTTGTTGCATCTTTGTAGTTTATTTTTGCCCAAGTGGATCTGCATTAATTTGTATCTTTTTCTATGTAAAATTCTGTAGAAATCATTAATAAAGGTGTGGCTCTTTTTATTTTTTTAAGTTGGTAAACAGTTATATTAACCTAATGTGGGACCTATACATGAGCATACTAAAGTGTCAGTGCTTCCCAAAGACTTTATTTTGGCACAAATTCTGTTCCTAGCCAGATATAAAGAATCATGGAGAATACATGACAGATCTTCCTTTATCCTCTTCCCAATCCCCATTTCTTCATGGCAAACATAAGAAACCACGCATTGATTTATTTTTTTTTTTAATTTTTGCCATTTAAAAACCTTTTGAAGATAACTGCACTTCAGAATTTAGAGATGAGAACGATGGGGTTTGAGATCAGTTTGTGCAGCTGCTATGCCTCCTTATTTATCTGTACGATTACACTTCTAAAATTGCTAACGCGCCATCGTTGTTTTTTTTCTGTCTGGTAGCAAATCAAATTGTCAGTGGAATTGTTTCTCTGGAAAAGATTTCCCTTCCACATTCTGTTAAGCAGTGCTTCAGTGTGCATTTGTTATACCATATCCTGCCGGGGGTGAGCGCGACGCTTTCTCTCAGCCATAATTCTGCTTTATGGTTTTTGTAGCTTGATAATTAAATAATAATGTGATGCTATCAACATTGCAGGGGTTTTGGACGACGTGTTTAAACCTGTTTCAGCTTCAGGTGTTATTAGTTAATTGCAGATCATTTTTAATCCTCCTTCCATTCCTCCCTCCCCCCCCCCGTCCCAAATCCCAATGCCATTTAAAGTTTTTATACCAATAATGCTGAGCTTTAATAACGTAGGAACTAATAGTATGGATAATATGATGGATTATGCCTCAGATGTTTAAAATTGACAGTGTGTATGTCTAATTTCTTTCTGTTGGATGAGTAAAAAAACCTGTTTTAAGAAAAATGAATTTGCTGTCATGTTTTTGTGGAGTGAGGGGACTGTCAGAGAGCCTGTCACCAACTGGAGTTCCAATTAAGCATGGAAATGGTGCTCATGTCCGCTGCTCTAGCACACTGAATCTGCACGTGTTTATTGTAGAGGATCTTTTACTATATTAGAAAGCAAGTATCTTCTGAATACTATTTACTCCAAAAGGACCTCCAATTTAAATAAAGTTTAATCTGTATCATTTAGACTTGTATTTAGAACATATAACTGTCTCTGGACTGTTACTGCCTGTAAGGAGTAATGGACAGCATCGGATTAACTTTTTCCTCTAGGAGAATACAAGCCTTAATAAACAATACATATTTAGCAAGCTTGATGTCATTTTCATTTTTTCCGTACTATCATTTCTGTTCCTATGTTACAACCTTTCCATTATGCAATCTCATGAATTGCATTTAATGTGAGAGGTGTTTTGGTTATGACAGGTTGGATGTTGGCTATTGGCATGCTTGCTGTTTGCTGAGGGGTTTCCCAGGACTCTGCAGAGGACACTTCAGCTGATCTGAGTGCTTCCATCCCAAGGAAGTTTGCACACACACGATGGTTATCATCTGTGCTTTCCTTTCTGAAGCTGCAGCTTAGAATTGGAAGTTGCCCTGTAGCCTTCAGTGCTGTGGATGTGTGGCAATGGGAGGAGAAAAGAACCTTTCAAAGAGGGGTAAAATGCTCCGAACTGTTTCTTCTACAACAACGAGCTGTATTTTGCCACTCTAATTTTTGCAATTTGACCTTAATTTTTTAATAGGCTTTTTAAAGCAATAGTGCGTTTTACAACATTAAGAAAAGGATGTGCTGTTAGCTTCTGCTTGAGACAGGTGGATTACAACTGGTGAGTGTAGAGCTGAGAAGAGTTCAGCTCCATTCTGGCCCTAAGGAGAAAACTCAGTTACACAACGTTGATTTATTTTCTTATTTTAGGTCTGGAAAGTTTATTTTCTGTGATTTAACTGAAGACGATGTAAATATTTTTTTAGCAGAGAGAGAGCTGTTATTTCCACCTGATTTGGCTGTATTGTTAAGGAAAGTTACAGTGCACCTCAGAAAAAGCCTGTTCTTTGGCTTTATGAGCAGCAGAAAAAGTTCAGCATGCAGAGGTTCCCCTTACAGGCATTGCAGTGTTTTGTGGCCACGCTGTACAGCAACAGCTGAGTTAAAGCATTCCACAATGGGAAAATGATTTAGTATTGCCATGTGCAGTGCTAGGAGGGCTGAAACGCAGGCTGGTAGTCATACGCATTTTCAATCATCTGTCTTTTCAGCTTTAAAGAGACATAACTTCACCTGTGTGTACAAATGGCACTGTGAGGTGGGGAAAGCATTTGGCTGGTGTCTGTTCTACAATAATATGATAGGTTTGAATTGTTCTTTCTCTAAACCAGGTAGTATTTCCAAAGGAACTTGCCTTTGTGCTTAATGTCATTGCGCTGGAAAACACAGGCTGTGTGAAGAGCCTGGCTTTGCTCTCCATTTTCATAATTGCCAATTTATTCAGGTAGGGGAGACATCAGATTGCAGGAGATAGGAGCATTTTTAAAAGCTTTGATGAGAGTAAAATAACCTCTGTAACGTTACTGCTATTCTCTTGTGTACCTGGTGGGAAAAGTAGAGAGGAGGGAGGGAAACTTGGAACAGATAAATGCAACAACAAAGCAATGCCAAGATAGGCAACAGGAGCTGTTGTGCCCTAATACTCTGTTTCCATGTCCCTCGGTTGCTCTGAATTCGTTAGGTTCAACACCCAGTTTCATTTGGAAAAATGTCTTTTTGTGACTGCATCTGCTCCTTGGAGGAGAAAGCTGTGCTGTTTTGGGGAAAGGGCATATCTGTAATTAGAGTTAGTGATGCTGCCCAAGAAAAAGGGTGAATGAGGCCATGCTTTCCCATGGTAAGCACCTTGTCAGCAGCCTGCCCCATCCACAGTCCTTCTGAGAAACAGCAGCTCTCATTCAGCCTGTTTTTAGACACGAGGGAGTCGAACCAAAGTGCTGAACTGACTGAGCCATGTGCCACGTGCCAGAGGGACCCTGGGGTCTGTGAGGTCCGTGCTTTCCTGCTGTGCTATTGGATTCACTTCTGTATTTTGTGGGGGATTTTGGAGCACGTTTGGTGATCCCTCGAGAAGCCCCACATGGAGGTGTGCTGATGTGGCTTCTGTACATCCGCAGTGCTTTCTGTAGCATCCCTGCTGCTTTGGCCCAAGCTCCGTAGCTGAGTTATGAGCACTATGAAGATGACCTTGTGCATTGAAGGAAACACTCATAGAGCTGATCCACGCACTGATTGCCTCTTGCTGACTGCTTCAGTTTGGAGCGTGTGGGCGGATTTATGCCATCTGTCTGTTTATAAGTTATATTCAAGGAATTATTTTTACCTGGGAAGTTGCCATGACAACAGACAGTTGGTGAAGTTCTCACCAAGCACTCTTCTGCTCCATCAGTAGGACACGGTGTTCGCTGTGGCTTCGGTAATGAGGTGAAACGTGAAAGAGATGCAAGTGCTACGGGGTGGGTAAGAAAGCACTGCTATCACAGATCCTTGGGAATGTTCTTTGTGAAGGTTGGACAGTTTAGATGTTGGGATCTTTTCCATAGGTGACCTGATATGGAGCAGGGAAGAGAGCTGGCATCTTGCAGAGTGCATTGGGGGCTGCGTGGGGAGTGCTGTGAGGGAAGAAATTGCCAGTAGGGCCTCCCTTTATGGGACATTGTTAGGTTATGAGAGACCGAAGGGATCGTGATGATGGTTGGAAGCACGGTGGGATTTTCTGGTCCAAAAGGTGCTTTGTAAAAAGGTCAATTCTGATCTGAAATAAGGGTGGTGGGAGGGGTAATTCAGGACAAGAACCAATAAGCGGTTTTTACCACCCAAGAATAAAAAGAGCTCCAAAAGATTTCCTGATGCTAAGGAAAGAGCAGCAGTAATGAGTTCCTATGGGAAATGTAATCTGCCCATGGTGAGTGAATTCAAGATGGGGAAGAAGAGAGACTTTATGAGCCAGGTATCAAAACACGGGGTTTTAGGTGTTGTTTTTCTTTTCTCTTTTCAAATGTGCATTCCTATGCATACAAGGTGTTTGTTATATGTCTCACACACGTATATGCATAGCTGTATGCCTGGAAGAGAAGGGCAATAAGAAATAATGCTGGCTTTTTCTTCGTGTGAATGAGAAGACATTGCTGCATACCTGAGCTGACACACCTTGGCACGGCCCTGCGCTGCCATCTCACCTTGTTGGTAACGAGAAATGCATTTTCCAACCTGGTCGGTCCCCTCCAGTGAGCAGTGAAAGCATTCCTCGGAAAGTGAAGGCAGCACTGACTCCTTCAGGCAGGCGTGGAGAAAGCAGTTCTGTCTTTGCTTTCAGGTTACAAAGCCCACGGAAGGTAGATGTGCTCCGGTGGTGTTTGCTTAGAATTTGTTCCCTTATGCATCAGTTCCAAATCTCACCAAACAGCTGCAAAATGAGATCCTCCTGCTTGGCATTGCCAGGGTTCCCGTTGTGTGTGGGGTTTCACAATGCGTGGAGAGGAACGTGTGTAACACCTGCTGAGCACCATCCCGTGGAGCCCTCACTGCAGCTTCCTATGAATCCCATAACTACAGCCATGCAGCTGTTCCATCCCCTTACGTGGGCCTGTGTGTGCCACTGGCACTGCTTGTTCCAAAAGGTTTTGTCAAAAAAAAAAAAAAAAAAATAAGGGGGAGAATACAAAAAGCAGAGCTCCAGCAGCTCGGTTAAGAAAAAGGAGAGTTGTTTGTTTGGTGCAGGAGGCACCGTGGAACACGATGTTCAGAA